TTAAGGAAAATGGATGTGCCTGGGTAAATTGCAAGCAGACACAAAAAATGAAAAGCATCTCCTCTTGTGATCATAGAACAAGAACAAGGAAGCAAATATGGGAAAGGCAACATGTTTTTATCAACATTACTCTTTCTGTTTTCAGTATCATAGATTGTTTAATCATGCCAATTTTTTTCACTTCTGACATATGACATACTTTATAGATAGCCCCTTGGTTGCAAAGCAATTCATAAACTGAAAATGCCATGCATCCATCAACAGTCATAGAAGCAATCCAAAATTAAGTACAACTGCATAGTCATCATGATTGCAGAGATTAAAAATCTTGAATACATTATTATGATTAAACATATACAAGAAACCTTTTGTGATTGTTTACTCTTATGATGTAACTACATTCTAAAATATTTTTTATCCATGACAGGATATATATAATAACCTGGTGTCTTAGTACATCTACAAAATCTTTTTAAATTTACAGAGCGACTGAGAAAAGTACATGCTTATTGTGGCTATTTCCTGTAAAACTGGCAGCCAAACAAACATATAATGAAGATAATTATGTGAAAAGAGTTATTGCATATGAAATAGGGAAAGTTTTAAAAAGTGTTAATATAACGAGGTGGCTCAAAATAAAAAAAAAATTATTCCATTTCTGTGATATACTATTCTGCATTTTTCAATGACTCACTACTACAGTATCAATGTTCCAAAAATTATTTATATCACCTTAAAAACTCATGCTGCTGCTGCTTCAGGGATTAGTGTAAACAATGACATTCAAGGTTTATGGCAATCATGACTCTCTTTGCAAGTGTAACCAGGTTAAAATATTTGAGAAAATTTCAAATTACTCAATAATGGAAAGAGACTATACGGAGAGAAAAGCTAAATTTAAAAGAAAAAGAGTAGCTCAGTGTTAGATGACAAATAATAGCCGAATAAAGGAATATGAAAATTTTAGATTACACAATTATTCAAATGGATAAAAGTTTGCACCTATCTCCATGTCTGCATTATCCATTTCATAATTTTTCTTACACTAAGGAATTATATTAGCAGAAACCTGTTGCAGTAAACAAAGTAGACCCAGCTCATTATTATTAGTATACAAGATAGGAAAAGGCTGCTAAAAGTAGCAATTGAACCTAGTGGGTGAGCTTTCTTGACTATGAAAGAGAAATAATTTTTTAACATCTAGAAAGACTAATCCTGCAAAGATACCACTTAGAGAAATATGGCAGCATCTTCTAGTAATCAGCTTTTCATATGGCTGCAGTATTCTCTGTCAGGAAACTGTGAGTGGCCTGTAAGTGATCACTATCACCAACAATTCAAAAATAAAAAGAATGTCAGGTTTTAATTCCAATATGAACTCCAACAAATACTCAACAGTTATTTGGTCCAACATATAAAAAAAGATAATAATGTGATCGACAATAAGGTTTTGCTATTATTTATTTTGAAAAAAAAATCTAAGTGTATGTTGAAAGTACTGTCCTTTTCTCCAGCTACCAAATGATTTCTCAAACTACTTACTTTTGCTGAAAATATCAGTGCTGTTAAATAAAAAATAAAATAATCTCTTCTTTCATTCACTTATCAAAGATTGACCAGAAGTTACCAAAATACAATTATAGCAAATACATTTTTTTTAGATTTCAGTAAGAATTTCCCATTCCATAACTGCATTTTCATAAGAGTTCTCAATTCTATGTATGAAATGTAAAATGTAAAGAGCCAAAAGAACACCTATGAAAATCATTTTCATTATTATAATGAAAATGATTTTCATAGGTGTTCTTTTGGCTCTTTACATTTTACATTTGCAGAAATACAGCTTGAAATACAGCTCTTGAATGGTAACCAATCAGAATTATGAACATGTTATATCCAGTGTTGAAAAAGGTTTCACTTCAGATTACTTATTTTAAAAGAAAACTGGGATCTGTTTCAATTACCAGACATAGGACTCTACAGCCATGACAAAAATATAATATGATGCAAACCATATCATTTCATATACAGTACTGGATCCAGAAGTACTGCAAAAGTCACAGGTTGTGTGTTATACTTTTGATTCATAATTTGTCTTTGTATCCTTTTGCAGTCAACAAAAAAACAAAAACAAAAAAAAACACCCCACAGATCTCTATTTAATGCATCAGGAGATTTTTCAAATAGGATATCAGAACATGGGCTAATGTAAATCAGAAGACAGAATGATGCAGAACTTGAAATGCTGCAATATTTTAAATTGTATCAATTAACTCAAATATCATACAGCATTACCCCAATTCCCAAGTCATCAAGCACTTACACAGGTAATTGTCCATGTATTGGGTTTTATGGATCACATAGTAAAATCTCAATCAATACTGGGTGGGTTTTCCCCCCAGTCATAAAGTAGCCTAAGCAATGAGACAACAAGGAGGCTGAGCAATGAAGTAAGAAGAAGCATTCTCTGTTTCATTTCTGTTTAGGTTGCGGGGTCAACAACCCCGGCTCTGGAGCCACATGTGGCTCTTTCATCCTTCTGCTGCGGCTCCGTCGCTCAAAATATGTGTCACAACCGCCAATGTGCGACACCCGCATTGGAATAAGTAGTTATTGGGAAATAACTACTTTTAGAAAGCTCATTTGAGAAAGTTTAAAAACAATATATACCTTTGAGCTTGGTGTCTTTAGCATTCTTTTTTTTATCAATGTGCAAAGATTTTTGGGGAAAAACCCAGGTGTTCAGCTATGTTGCCTTTTCATTTGCTACATTTGGTAAAATTAAGGCAACACACTGGACTACATAATTTCTTGTGAATTCTAGCAACATAATTAATCCATATCCTTCAGATAATCTTGCTTAGCATACAGAAAATGAATAAAAATTCTAACTACACACAGACACAGAAACAGACACACACAGACACAGACACACAGACAGACAGACAGACACACACACACATATACAGGGGCCAGAGAGAATGCCGTTAAAGCAACATCTGACAGCTCGGCATCATTCCCTGGGGACAAGCAGCCCAAGTGGTGTGTGATAGCTAAGCCTCCATCGATTAACATGTCTGAAGCAAAAACGACAGAGCTAATTACAGGTGGGAGGCAGGTGGATGGCCTATCACTTGCACAATGGCCAAATTGATTAATGATGGATAAAGGCAAATATCTCTTCAATGGTAGTTTCTACACTCTGGTGATATTAGCAGAGGATAACAAAAGCTAAGTGGGTAATTATTTTAAGTTCCAGGGATCATGATTTCTGTCTCTTCTTTTATAGCTACACCTGGAATTCGTATTTTTAGATAGTTCAATATATATATATGGACCAAAAAACAGTAATAGGCAGCAAAAATATACCATATTTTTTTGAGTATGACATGCACTCCCCCCCCTAAAAGAAGCTGAAAATATGGGTGTATCGTATACTCCCAATATAGGTTTTTGAAAGCTTTTTTTTAAAAAGCTTTTTTTCACCCCTAATGAGGTGCTAACATGTGAAGTGATCTTCATTTCAGGCAAAGCACAGTAGATCACTTCACTTGTTAGCACCTCATTAGGGCTGAAAAAAAGCTTCAAATATTTTTACTGCAACATACTATTGGAAAAATTTCCTGGGTTCATTCCAACTGGGAGAAGCCGAGGACAAAAGATTTGAAGACTGCCTTAAGAGGTACTTCTTTTGTCCAGTTTCTATTTTTGGGAGATAATCGTCTCAAGGCCAAGGCAGAGAGTTCCTGTGGCTACATGATTTCTATTATTTTAGGGATAATCCCTTTAAAGGCAAGGCAGGGATTTTTCCTATCGACTGAGTTTTCTCAATGGTTTCCTTCAGGTAAGCGCTGGGCTGGTTTGTTGTTTCAGCTTTGTTACATTTTTACAGGTGTGAAGTGCTTTTGGCTGAATGGCCAGACATCTAGTTAAGCTTATTAAGAGTTTCCCCGGCCACCTGGGGAAAGAAAAACAGTGGCAAAAAGTGTCTTTTATTATACTATTGTTTGCTTGCTTTTCTGGTGTTATGGGAATAAAAATGAATACCCAGTAGGCAGAATCCCCCCCCCCCATTTTCCTCCCCCAAAACTAAGGTACATCCTATACTTATGTGCGTCTTATACTCCAAAAAATATGGTAAATATAATGATTCAATCATTTGGCCTTATTTTTTCCATAGCTCATAGCTAGATATTAATAGGAAAGAACTGACATATAAAGTCTTAGCAGTTTACACCTTTTTGCTCCTCCATGGTCCAAATGACTTGGATGTTGATCCCTGTAGAGTTTTGTATCATTCTGGGTTTTTTAATACCAAGCCTTCTAGCCTCAGTCTCCCCTACAGTTATTAAAATAGTCTTAAAAAACTTACAGCATTTAAGCCAGTATGCAATTTTATCCTTAAGAATCAAAGTGGTTGATTTCAAGGACCACTTATTACAGATAACAATGCTGAAATTCTGCCATTCACTCTCAATTACTTTGTCTTTAGATAAACATTAAATAATAATCTTAGAATATAACCATTACAACACAAATCCCAAAAGAATGGCAATATGCAAACTGTACCCTACTCATGCAAACTTGGAACCAAAAGAACTGGCTTCTTTTTTCTGAGAACCCCAATGGATTGCATCCTTTTAACAGCCTTCTCTCATCAAATTGAAGAATAGGGATTATGCACTTCTTTTGGGTTGTACCCCCGCTCCTCCAGTAATAGTTAGAAATCCTATTTCAGAAACTGGCTAATGTTAATTCTTGTGTACACTGTTGTGAAGTTAAACATGAAGCAACATTATGGATGCTGCTCGGGAGAGGTGTAAGAATGGCCCAGTTATCAACATCCTGCAAACATGGCAGTTGTGCTGGACTTAATGAGGTTCCCTCACCAGACCCCTCATCATCAGTTGCAGGTTCATGCATCTCCTCTGGGAAAGCCTGAGAGTGATTTGGGTAATTCTTGCTGTCTGAAACAGTCACTGGTGCCTGACACCTCTCACCTGAGGTCTCTGCGTGCTGAATCGGTGTCGAGGTAGTTAAGCCTTTGTATGTAATTTCACCTGACTCATCTTCTTCAAAATCATTAAGGCAATACACTTCATCCAGATCAAGATCAAGAGTGCGGAAGCCCTTAGTAACAACCCCAGGCCTTGGATCAAGGATGCCTCCTAGATGAGGCTGAGCAAGCTGTTGCCAATGATGCAGTGTGGCAGAACCTTGGAAGACAATAGAACAAACAGGTCAGTATAGAAATTTGAATTATGAACTTACTGCTTATAATCCTCATTATATGTAGTTATATCTTGCTGATGAAGCATCAAAACAACTGTTCTGCAAGAAATCATCATTTGATAGATTCAGTTTGCAAGTATCAAACATTGTTTTACATCATTTTTGTTACTAGGGACAAAATAGAAGTAGTGTTTTTGAGAAGGCATAATTCTGATTAAGACAAGTCAGTTTGGTGTACTAGTTAAGGTACCAGGCTAGAAACTAGGAGATAGTGAGTTCCACAAATTCAGCTGGGTGAATTTGGTCCAATCGCTATAACTCTAGGAAGCAGGGAATGGTAATCCACTTCTGAAATCTTGCCAAACAACCTGCAGGGATTTGTTCAGGCAATCATCAGGAGACAAGACTGTCTTGAAGGCATAAACTAGCTCCCTCAGACCAAATTGGCAATGTATCCTTTATTTGTTTGCTTGTTCAATTGACCATCTCAATCAATGACTCTGATATGTTGACTAAGAAATAAATCCAATTTACCTCAATGTAATAAAAATGATTATTAACCCTATATAGAAAGATATTGACCAATTGTCTGTCTAAAAAACATGGGTTTGGGTTAAACTTTTTAAAAATTGAACTGAGTTAAGAAAAACCCTCCGTGATATTTTTGCCACTTCAATGTAGAGAGGAAAGGGGATGAGAAAGGACATTGAAAAGTTATATCCCTCAATTTCTAGACTAGCTTACTCACTTGACCACTACACCAAGAGTAATCCTGTGCCTTAACTACTAGACCAAGAATAATATGGAATATTCTTATGGATTGGACCTACCTCTCATTCTGATTTTACCAAAACAAAAACAAAAATATTTAGTAGCTTGCTTTTTGCTCACTCCAGACTAAAAGACAACACTGAAGTATTGATCATAGCAGCACAAAAACAGGCCCTAAGCAGAGGCCTACCTTACATGCACCAGGACCCATTATGCAGAGATGTAACCTAAAATGTAAACCAGAATAGGCTAGGAGAAGAGAGGAGAGGAGAGGACAGGATAGGATATGTTTCTCTGTTCATATTATTGGAAAATCTAGACGTACATTTTGTGCATGTGTTTGTATTAACCCTCTCCTCTCTCCTCCTCTTTTTTATTCTTAATATGTAATAAATAATTTCCATTATAAATTAAATAATATAATAATAATCTATAAATTAATTGCTTTACTAATCTATAATTAGAAATGGTTTAATAAAATGTTGTAATGAAATTATGTGCATTTGAATTATATATTTTAACAAAATAGGCAAAGTGAAAAATAGAGAATAGCTAGATAGCAGATAGAAATACATGTATTGTTGATTTCCAAATTTCATAAACAATCATTTAAATAAATCATTCTTTTTAAAAAAATACAAGGATTCTGAAATTATCTCCTGCATAAGATATATGGTAAAATCTAAAAGATGATCACTAACGCAAAACGCAAGAAAAAGTTTCATACACAAAGAAAAAGCTAAACCAGGAGAAACAGAGAAAAGGGAGAATGAAAGTTTATTGAAGAAAACAAACTGGGTGACCGAAACCTAGATAATACTAATAATCAATAGATGAAAGTTGATTACCTATCTCTTCTCTAAAATTAATTTGTTTAATAAGCGCTCTGCAAAAGCCAAAATGCCAAAAATGTATATTGGTTCAGTTGTGTTGGGAGAATTTCCCAATTCTAATGCAAATTCCAAAAAAAAAAAAAAAAAAAAAGTTTACAGATAAAAAGAAAAAAGTTGATTTGTTAGATTAATATTATAAACTCCAAAAATGTAAACAAAACCCAAAATTAAGCATTTGGGTGACACTTATTGCAACATTTTTTTGTGCATGGGTCAATTCTTTTGAAAAGGAGAATGTATATTATCACAATCTTACATTTTAATAAATGAAATGCTGTGTGTTGCTTTGGAATAATATAAATAGGTATTACTGGAGTATAGAATAATCTGGCTGCAGATTTTATATTCAGATGATGCACCCATTTGAAATGACATCCTAATACTGGTCTGTATATGGGCTTCATGGAAGCCTATTTCTGGTGAAGTAAGTGGCCTGCCAGATCAAGGCAAAGCGACTTAAGCTTTTGAAATGAATGCTACCTTGAATTTGTTGCAACAAATTAAGGACCACTTTCAGACTGTAACACTACAGTGTAGCAAGTATTTAGTTGCACAGAAGTGCATTAAAGTCAATAGTCCTATAATGTTGAAATTCAATGCACTGTCACCATATCATTGTTCTTCATGTCAATGAAACTTAGGTTTACATTTCTCACAGTTTGAATGACAGAGGAATATCTAAATTAACACAGGAATTCAAGATTAATCCCTAACAATTATAAATATTCTACTGAATATATTAGAAACAGTATACATTACTTTTTTAAAAGAATAATTCCTGACCTCAGAAGAGTTCAAACCAACAATGAGGACGGCTACCTCTAAAGTAAAATGATTATGTATTACAAAAATTTCCTCTTTCTTGCTGATGGAGAAGAGACCACAAATAGTCACAAAGGAGAACAGATAAATGCCGAGGAACTTTATTATCACCTTCTAAGGGCTTCACAATCTGAAGCTTCTCTGGGAGGTATGAACGACTGCTGATAGATATTCCTGAATAGCCAGTAAATTCAGAAAACCCGGAGTGTGTTCTAAATGACATAATACTCTCTGTTGGAGTAATGGAACCACTATGGAGCTCCCCCTTCTCTGCTAATTCTCTCAACTTTCTTTCCTGTTCTTCTTCAAAAAACCTCCTTTCTGACAGGTAATTCTCCCTCCGAAGGGACAACCTTTGAAGGGCTTTTTCCAGGTCACAAGAACCTGGTGTTCCTGGTGTTCCTGGTTTCTTGTTCTTCTCTTCATCTCTAAAACAAAGAGCAATTACACATTAATATAGGTGACAATAAGAAAGTAAGAAAATATTTATTTAAAAATTTCAGTTCAATCAATAGAATATACACTTTCAAACAGAGAAATAACTAGATAGATTAGTAAGGGTATAGATGCAAACAGGACTGTTCTTTATCTCACTGGTTAATATATTATACACAAGCTACACATTTAAAGAAAAAAACTGGTGTGTACCATGGAACAGAAATATAGCTGATTTAATAAATATAGACAACTTTAATAAATGCCAGCTACAGTGCTTCTGCCACTCTGTTAGCCTAACAGCTGACCAGCACATATGTCTAGTATTTGTAGTCCCTGAGGACTTTTAAAATGTCAGTATGGCCCTTTCCCCTGATGATTTGTGCAGGTCTCCACTACAACCATAAATGGTAAATTATTATTTTCTGTAATCTTTGGTGTCACCAATAATGTTTTTCCTTAATTCTCCCTAATAACAGAAATAAGAAGAGTTTAGATAGTACAATAATTAATGAGAAAGAAATTATCAACCCAATAATCCCTATTTTAATTAAAATATCATGATATTTATTTAGAAAAAGGCAGTCATATTTTCTTTAGGAAAAAAAATCAGTTTGGATACTGCATGTCAGATTAATGTTATAATTTAGAATAGAATAGAGCTGGAAGGGACCTTGAAGATCTTCTAGTCCAGCCCTCTGCTCAAGCAGGAGAACCTATACAATCTCAGACACGTGATTGTCCAGTCTCTTCTTAAAAACCTCCAGTGATGGAGTGCCCACAATTTCTGAAGGCAAGCTGATCCACTGCAGAATTGTCCTTACTGTTAGGTAGTTTCTCTTTAATTCCAGCTTCTCTTTTTGATCAGTTTCCAACCATTATTTCTTGTCCTGCCCTCTGGTGCTTTGAAGAACAATTTGACCCTCTCTTCTTTGTGGCAGCTCCTTAAATACTAGAAAACTGCTATCATGTCACCCCTAATTCTTCTTTTCTTTAGACTAGCAGTTAACCAGACCCAAAATTTGTAGCCATTCTTCATATGATTTAATCTCCAGGACTTTGATCATCTTAGTTGCTCTTCTCTGAACTTTTTCCAAAATGTCAACATCTTTTTTGTAGTATGGTGACCAAAATTGGTTGCAGTATTCCAGGTATGAACTTAACAGGTTTTGTAAAGCGGCACAAATATTTCACATGATCTTGATTCTATGCCTCTATTTATATAACCCAGGATTGTAGTAGCTTTTTTTGGCCTTTTTTGCCTCATCTGTATTTATACCTTTGATTTTTCCTGCCTAAATGTAAAGCTTTGTTTTTCCCCACATTAAAATTTATTTTGTTGGATAGGGTGCATTGTTCAAGTTTGTCAAGATCTTTTTGGATTCCGAGTTTGTCTCCTGGAGTGTTGGCTATTCTTGCCAGTTTAGTATCATCTGCAAATTTGATGAGTTCCCATTCTATTCCCTCATCTAAGTCATTTATAAAGATATTGAAGAGTTCTGGGCCTAAGATGGAGCCTTGTGGTACCTCACTGCTTACTTCTTTCCATGTGGATGTAGTACCATTAAAGACTACTATTTGAATATAGTTTGTCAGCCAGCTACAAATCCATCTGGTAGTGATGTTGTCTATTCTACATATTTTTATTAATATAAATAGAAAGAGCAATATGTTCAAAATCCATACAGACTGTGTTGTCTGGTTACAATTCTTTTGAATAATATTCATCATAGAATAATAATAGTGTCCTCTAATAATAATCTCATAATAAAAGTGTTTTCCCCTCATAATGTTAATACATATTAATTATGAATACTAATCAGAATTAATCAAAATTAATAAGTTATAGTAATCAACTGTAATAATAAAATTAATCTTTCTTTTGTAGTTTTAGAAGTTTCAACTCTTGTTTCTCTTATTTAATCATTGATAAAACACATCCCACACCTCAAAATATTCAGTGTCTTCGTTTTCTTTTATTTCAACTGTTAGTTTATTCATTTCTGCACATTCTAAAATTTTTGTTATTATCTTTTCTGTGGGTAATCTTCTTGCCCTTCCAATATTGTGCAAACATGATTTTGGCTGTTGTTAACACATATATTACTATATATGCATTCCTTTTACTGAATTTGTTTGGTATGATGCCCAACAGAAATATTTCCGGTTTTAAATCTATATGTTCCTTTATCATTTTTTCTAGCCAGGTGTACATTTTAGTCCAGTATTTTTTGCTTTTGGACATGTCCACCACATGTGGAAATATGAGGGACTGGCCACCAGCTGCAGAAGACCGGAGGTTTTCCCTTGCCTGCGTTTAGCGGCAGCGCAAATGGGGCAGCTTCTACATAACTTTCTATGCCCTTTTTTAATGAGGCCACCAGAATTGTCATTTCAGTAAATGTAATGTTTTTACAAAACCAAAGTGACCAGCTAATTTGGAGCTTGTATAGTTCTCAGCCTTTCCCTAGCTGGGATATACAGCTTATTTTCCACCCAAGCTAACCCCACGTTTATTATGCAAGTATGTTTATTAGCACTAAACCCCTCATCCATTTCTAAGGCTTTTTTGAAATCTGTGATGGTGGCATTGTCTAAGGTGGAGGGGTCCTTCTTCACCTTAGCTGCTAATTAGGAGGCTTGGAGCATGGACATAATTACTTCCGCTGTTATATTGCGGTAGTCTAGACAAGGCATCTGCCACAAAGTTTTTGCCTCCAGGTAAATACTTCAAAATGAAATGAAAGCGTTGAAAGTATTGTGCCCACTGGACTTGTTTTGGAGACATTTTCTGTGGGGTTTTGAGTGCTTCCAAGTTCTTGTGGTTAGTCCACACTTGGAAAGGCATTTTACTTCCTTCCAAGAAATGTCTCCAAGTTAGGAGTGTCCACCTGACTGAAAAAGCCTCCCTTTCCCATATTGCCCATTTCTGTTCAGTTTCAGTTAATTTCCTAGAGGTGTAGGCACACAGTTATAATTTGCCTTCTTCATTCTTTTGGAGTAAAACAGCAACGACTGCTACATCACTGGCCTCGGCCTGAATTACAAATGGTTTTTCTGGGTCTGGGTGTTTTAATAGAGGTTTAGCTGAAAAGAGTTTTTTCAGTTTTTCAAATGCCGCTTGGCAGTCCAATTCAGTGGTTGGCTAGGTTTTGGTTTATCTACCCTCTTGGTTTTTAACAGATTTGTAATCAGCAATGCTATTTGGGCAAAAGAGGGGATAAACTGTCTATAAATATTAGCAAACCCCAGGAAGCTGTGCAATTGTTTGTGAGTATGCGAGGTTTCCCACTCAAGGACTGCTCTGACTTTTGTGGGGTCCATTTGCACCCCCTGGTGAGAGATTATCTACCCTAGGATATCAAAACTCCTTTAAAGAAGGGCTAATGCAGCACCTCATTAATTAGCTGCATGAAAACAGTGGGAGCCCCTTGGAGCCCAAATGGCAAAACCTTGAACTTAAAATATTCTAGTGGATAATAAACACAGTTTTCCATTTGTCCCCTTCTCGGATCCTGATCCAGTAATAAGCCTCCTGCAACTCTAGTTTAGAAAAAAATATCCCCTTTGCCAGATGAGTCAGTATGTCCTTCATTAAGAGTAGAGGATAAAGATTTTCTTTGCAAATAACATTTAAATTCCTATAATCAACACATAAAACATAACAAGCTGTCCTTCTCCTGAAATAGAACAGGGGTAGCTACCTTGGGTCTCACCAGTTCGATGAACCCACGGTTTTTGTCTATGAATTGCCACAATTCATCCAGTTCCCAGGGAGTCATAGTGTAAGGTATGGCTTAGTTGTTTGACCCCCAGTAAAATCTCGTTGGCACAATCCGTAGACCTATTGGGGGGGGGGGAGTTCATCTGAGGCTGCTTTGTTGAAAACATCCATCAGATACCGCTATTCCCTAGGAATGCCTGGTAAGGGTCTTTTGCCACAGCCGCAACTACCTCCTTACTCTGCAGTATTTCAGTCTGGTGGGATTCCTCGTTCTGAATTAATTCATCATTAGGGGAGGGTCCCTTCTTTCCAGTCCATCAAGGGGGTTCCACTTCTTTAACCAGGTTAGCCCCAGAACTAGGGCCCAGTCACAATGGTTTTAGAGTGATTTACCATTGTTAGTTTGAATGGATCAGTGGTAAACGTGGCCAGGTTACTCCCTAGAACAAGATTGGGGCTTTTAGTGGTCATAGTTGAATGCCAAATCCCTGACCAGAGTTGGGCTTGTTAGGTTTCTCATGCACCCCAAATCTAGCAATGCCTTATGTCTCACTTTTCTCCATTACTGGAATTAACAGTTCTACAGGGATTGTAAAGGGTTCAACAGCCCCACCTCACCAGAAGGTCTTCGTAGTTGATCTCTGACTGACTGGGTTCCTCCACTGGAGAGGTCAGAGTTCCTCACACCATAATTGATTCTGGTAGAAACTCAACAACCACGTGGGTCTTCTGGGTGATATCTTTGGAATGTGGTAGTGGCTTTGAGGGTTTCCCTCCAAGCTGCTTCTCTCCCTTTCGGGCGGACATTCTCACATGGCACTCATTTGTGCAGTGACCTCCTTCCCGCAATGGTAGCAGGCGGCTGAGCATGGGGGGGCAGAGTGAGGTTTGGTTTCCTCCCTTCTTCTTTCCAGCAGGAATCTCCTCCAGGAATGGTTTGTGTGGTACTGGTTTCAAGCTTGGTTGATTTCCACTTCCTCAGCAAGACACACCAACTGTGCAAGGCGAACTAGGGCTCCATGGGCAATGCAGGCATTGTACAGGTAATCATTTAAGCCATCTTTGAACCAACTCATGAGTACTTCCTCTGGTCAATCTACGTGGCAAGTCAAATCACGAAACTCTTCGATGTACTCATCCTGTTACTTCTCCAGGTTGACCAATTTGCAGTTCTTGCCTAATGTAAGATCTTACCTCTCCAATCTTCCCAAGAAAGCAGGACTCTTGAAATGGCAGTTGTTCCAAAAGGAGCTTTTATTGAAAGGTTTGTGATAACAAGGCATCTAGGCAACAACTGAAGCTTCTTATTTAAAATCAGCTATTTAAACAATACTAACCAAACCGCTCCCACTCTACAGCATTGTAGGGAAACAGAAACTTCATATAAGGATTAATTAATCAAGCAGTACTTCAAATATGATGCTTTGTTTAATTGATAACGAAATCACTATGGAAGTTATAGTTTAATGTCTCAGGAAAATTCCAAATCCACAAACTGATTCAAACAATCTTCATGCTAGGAAAATGCAATGTGATTGTTAATTAAAAATCAATTACTTGAATAAAATTAAAATTTAATTATTAAAGTTAATTTCATATCAGCAAATAGAATTATTTGCTTGGAATACATTACTCTGATGATCTGTAAGACAAATACATTTAAGGAAGAAAATAGGTCTACATTTTTAAAGTATCTGATAATTTAAAATAAACATAACTAATCTTAAATTACAATATAAAAAAGATAAGAACAGCTTGAATTAAAATTAGATTTCTTCTAAATATAGAAATAATTTTGTCTAGTGAACTGATCTAACCAATGAATGCCGTATAATAGCAGAAGGTGAGGAAAATGGAAGAAAATCATAGGGCAAAACTGTTTTTCCTAAGAGAATACAGTTAAAAATTAGCCATGCATTACTAACCTAGATTCAGTGGATTCAGTTTCTAGGATGATACTATTCATCTTATTGTCTAGCTCAATACTGGAAACATCTCCTCCATAGAAACTAGATCGTGGTGTGCTGACACAGCTAGAAATGATTGAATTCATTGTGGAAGACTGGTTAGATCCTGGGATGTTCATTGGCGATGGAGTTAGGGATCTCTGCTTTACTACCTGATTGATGTTTCGTACAGTGTCAAACACTCTCTTGTGATGGCTGCCAAAACACACACGATTAGTATTCTTACAAATAATATATAAACCACATTATAATAAATATGTAAACAAGCCTTCATCAGCTAATTCCATGAATATATCTGAAGGGCAGCATATTATGACAGCCTGGTTTAAATTTTTAAACAATTATATTGTATCATAATTAACAATGCTTTTTGGCATCATACTGGCCACATCACGGCACAAATGAATTTGAACAGAACTGGCTCGTGGCCCTTGAAATGGAGATGAGCACTGCCCCTTATAATCAGCAACAACTAGTGAAGAAAAATCAGCAGGATTCCTTCAATAATGCTTTTATATTTTAAAAACAGTCTTTGAGAAAAATAGGTATGTTACATCTGAACACTGAAGAAAGATTTTATAATTCTTTATAATTAAATAATTATAAATTCTTTAATTATAAATTAAAGTTTATTTATAATTAAAATTATTTATATGTATGGAAAAGGGAAGGGCATATAGCAGTATCTTCTTCATAAATGCTGCCTGTTTTTAATATAATTGACCTGTCTTCTTGCCTAGATAATATCCCAACTTGACTAGCAATAGTTTTCAGACTATTGGAAGAGAAGACCCTTCTCTTCCAACAGAAAACAAGAACAGAACCAGAAGTTCCTACAAGTGAACATGGGATGCCACACTTCTGCAAAATAAGTCTGGTTAGAGGATCATAATAAAATATAGTATTAATATATTTCCTCCCATTCTGTAGAAATAGTTATGTCATCTGATTAGCTGTCCTAAAACAAAGTATTACAAGCCTAGTAAACAAATTTATACTAAAAATATTAAAATTACTGACAATATAATAATTCTTATTGGCTTTGGACAAAATTAAGACTGATTTGTGAGAATTTAAGTTAAACTGTCACTTAAATGTAGTTTAACAATAGTTAATGATAAGGATCAGGAAATTTATGTATGCTATGTAAGATCCTTCATAAGTATTATGCTAGAATATAGATTAATATGACTGAATGGGAAAAAATCTAATAATTATGGTAAGCTGCCACATAGATTAATGTACTGAACTATTTACATCTCTCCCCTATATTCTGACTACCAGCTTTCATATTTTATTGATGATTTCTTCCACGTATATATTGCCTTTCTTCCATGTATATATTGTCTTTCTTCTACATATATGTTGCCTTTCTTTCAGAGGTTGCAAAAACAATATAGAAAGATTTCCAGATGGTTCCAATTTCAGGATGACTCAAACTCAAACCCACACTTGTTTAACTAGACTGAATCTCAAAGAACATATTACTGCAAACTATGGAATACATACAGTATTAACCCTATTTTACATATCCTATTTTACCTATTTTACCATATCCGGCAATGCACCATGTAAAAATGTTATAGGTACCTATCTACATGACTCCAGATGTTTTAGACCACAAATCTCAGTAGCCCTAATATTGTCAGTAAACTATGAGTTGTAGTGTAGAATTTCTGAAGGACACTTGCTTACCAATATCTGCCATGCAAAACATCTGGTGGGATGGAAAGAGAATATTTTTCTCTCACTGCAGAAAGTAGATAAATGCCCCTATAATTTTAATGATATTTTCCTGATACATTTCAAAATGTGGTATTCTCAAAGAGGTTATTTTTATATTTTAATTGAGAAGTATTGTTTCTTCTGTCATTGTAATTATGAGCTGGGATACGCATTAACAACAAGTCAGCCAATGGAGACTATTTGGTGATCCAGATGGTTCATAGCTTCACTGATCTCTCTCTCTCTCTCCCTCCCTCCCTCTCTCTCTCTCTCTCTCTCTCTCTCTCTCTCTCTCTCTCTCTCTCTCTCTCTCTCTCTCTCTCTCT